GTTGACTCTCTCCAGAGGAAGACTCTCACCGTTTCTTATGTATTCTTTCAGAAATACTTTCTATTTATATTTGTATATTTCATACATACAAAAATTAATACCTACATAAATCTCCCAGCACTGTGTGCTTCTATGGATGACATTATTTGCACCATGTCTCATACTGAATTTGCCTGCATGTCCATTTGAAACTGAGCAGGACCCTTTGGGGTCTACGAATCCCTTCCATGTCCCCCAGTTCTCATTTGGAAGAATTAGGCTTCATTCAGCCTCTCTGACCTTTCCTGAGTCCCAAAGGGCAATTCAAAGAGTTGCTAATCAGGGAACGGAGAGAAAGAAGGAATGACAGAGGAATAATCTAGAATTCAGGTTTTTCAAGTGCAAGCAGCCTGTCCTCTGTGATCGGCCCTGCAGTAAACCTTTCTCTGTACCAGACTCTATTAATGTTTTGATTTGCTTGGCCTCACTGGGCGTCAGGCACAGGAACTTTTTTTGGGTAACACATTGTTCCCTATAGGATAGAAAGGTTTTGTTTTGTTTGTTTTGTGTTTTTCAAATTTGTGTCACCAAAATGATTTTAAAGATACGGTAGATAAATATTCAAAAGTGAAAAAAAAAAAAGCTTATTACACGGAGCCAGCATTAAGCAACGTTTAACAATATTAACTGGCCTGGAGGGAGGTGGAACTCTGTCTCCGGATGTGTTTGTTTCATGTCAAATGGGACCAGTTTCTTCCCCACAGCGATGAGTACTTGTCTCTCTGAGAGATGACTGCTCTCTGCCTTAGGGCTGCCTACTGGATGGACTGCAGCAATGTGATTAGGGAGTGCTGTACTTTACTCTGGACCTTCATGTTAGATTTCTTAATATGCTGAGTAAATTTTCTAAATCAGTTTCCACCCCGCTGAGAGATACATGTTGACGTTAACTCAAAGAACGGTCCGTTGAGAAAACATTTGTGGTTATTTTGACGTTTTAACATGCATAGAAATTTCTATCTTCTTGGCACCAAACACACCATGGGTAGTCTAAGGCTTCCAAAATTCTATTCTTAACACAAGACTTAAACTCATGTTTCAGTTTGGCTGCTTTGGGTGAAACTGGAGGCTGTACTGAAGGAGAATCGGATTAAGGAATTACATGGGCACAGAGAGCACTGATGCCAGGAAGGGGGCTGAATTCCCCACATTTTCTATTTCTGATTTGGTCTTCACAGTATCAGGTTAAACAATCTGTAAAGATGGGTAAGTCAGGGAAGCTGCCTTCAGAGTTAACATTCCATCAGGGAAATGAATGTGTCGATAGCTACGTGAAAAAAAGACTGTCAAATGCATCATGGCCCGCTGAAGTATCTTGCAACAATAGTGTCAAATTGACATTGAGGACAGCAATTTCTTGTAATAACATCGAATGGAAAAGAATCTGAAAAAAAAATACATGTATGTATATGTAAAAATTTTTTAAAGACATAAAAAAGCTAAATGGAGTAAGTCTTAATGACCGATTTTATCATTAAGAATGCTGTAGGACACAGACAGCCCAGAGAACTCGAGCTCATGGCCTAAATGGCTTGAGAATGAATTTTTAAAAAAGAAAAAGTAATTTAGTATTGTTTTCCACTTAATTTGGCTTGTATGATGAAGAACTGATAAAGATAATGACCTCAGTTTGGGACAAAGATATCCAGGAGTGACACCTGACCAGCAGTTAGACACACAGGGATTCCCTGCATCTAGTTATGAATTTGACATACTGACTTGGGAGTCTTCAGTCCCTAAAAGCAAGAGGAGCGGATGAGATCAACCAGAGAGAAGACACAGTGAGGAAAGACTAAACTCTGAGAAAGATCAGTAAGCATGAACAGAAGAGGATGAATCCGCAGAGACCAAGTGTGCGGTGCGCTTTGAGAGCGAGGAGGACCAGCCAGGGATGGAGCTGTGAAATCTACGAGATAAGGAATGTTCAAAAAGGTGTACATGGGACCAACAACAAGTTACGGGAGACAAGATTTCAAATAAGGACTAAGAATGTATCAGTTACCACTGACAAATACGGAGATCACTGGGGACACCGGCAAAGGCAATTCCAGTAAGTCTGGGACTGAAATTCATACTTCGGTAAGGTTCATTCGAGACAATATGGGAAGACAGGGTGTTTAGAAAACTGAAGTTGTTTACCAGGGAAGAGAAAGCTAAAATCGTGTGGTCACTAGAAGTGACCTAGATGGCAGAAAGGGCTGTTTCCCTTCTACCCTCTTGGTAGGTGGAAGAAATGAGTATTTCTACAGGCTGAGAATATTCAGTGGACAAAGTACTGAAGATGGACTGATGGATAGCATGAAGTTCTTTATCAGATGAGAGTGGGCAGAATCAAGAAGATGGTTACCCTTAGCATCTTCACTACACTGTTTCCCTCGGGAAACAGTCATTGTTGTAAGTATCTAAGTGGGATCATGGAAGAGGCTGAACCACTTTTGCAGCTGTTCACATACTTCCAAGGATATCGTCTGCCTGTTAATACAAGGGCCAGATAAAGACATAGCACAGAGAGAGTGGTTGAAGGTGGACGGATATATTCACAGTCAACTGCTATATGCTACGGAGGCAGTGAAGCGGGAAGTGGTCACTGTGTACCAGGCAGTCCTCACTGCCTCTAACAGGACATCACTCAAAGTTCACTTTTGGCTGCTCAGATTAAAGCCGAAACCCACCTGTTTTCTCTTTGGGTCTGTTAACGAATCAGGATGAAAATCTGGAAAATTATGTCTTCTGGAAAAATCCAGACTTTAAGTTGCGCGTCGGAAAGATGACGAACAAAAGCAAACCATCCCTCGGTCCCGTCCAGGCCTAGGTCACTGGGGCATCCCCAGTCTTTGACAGCCAGCCTTGGGCTTGAAGGTCTTTAGAATGAGTAGATACATAAATATACAGTACAGACAGGTAGATACATTCATAGGAACATCCATTCATATACATGTAAGCAAATACTAAGATTTGTTGAAACTAGGGACATATAGCTATCTATTCAATTATTATTTCTGTTTCTAGTATGGATATCAATTTCTCCTTGCAAATACGTGTATTTTACATGTATCAGACTTTGAACCCATGGACCATTAAATTACAAATGTAAAATGTTTGGTGCCGAGTACGTGTTCAATGAATGGCACTTTCCACTGTAACACCTATTTTCTGTCACTGTCACTGTCACTCAGCCTGTAATGCCTTATTTTGTGCCTTTTGAGTCGACTGTTTCATCTTTCCAGTGACACAGCACAATTCTAGACGACTTTATTCTTCATGCCTTAACTTCTTCTGCCCTCCCCCAAGTTCAAAGTGCTTTGCTGGAAATAAAGAGTTCTTATTGGATAAGTGAAAGAATATCCTTACATCTCACTCCTAGAGAAGTTTTAATCAACAAGGGACAATGGACTAGACTCTTACCCTAGATGACCATCCCTGTTTACTCTTTCATGGAAGGGTAGATCATGAGTTTCTTGACGGCAAAGCCCTTGTCGCGTGCCTTGGTTTTTTTTTTTTTTTTAAACCTATAGAGCTTATTACCGAGCTTGGCAGACTGACTAGATGTTCACTGAATGACTGAATAAATGACCCTCTGCATGAATAACTATAAGAAGAGGGATTTAAACACTTTCAACATCCCACAGACTTTCATTAGATGCGGCTGACCAAAAAGAAAATGGAGTTTAATTCCTTCCATCCTGGACGTTGATTTTAAATGAGGACTTCATTCTGATTGATTCTTTCAATGAGAATAAGAGTCAGAAAACTGAAAGCCAGGGGGAAGTCCAAGAGAAAAGACTGTGAAAATAAAAATCACCCTTCTTCTTTGGTTGGTTGGCCAATCGCAGGACAGCCGAAGCAAAGCAAAGAAATTGGGAAGTAAGAAGAAAGTTTGAACCAAAGATATTCAGATTACAGAATTTTAGAAAGCCTCGGTGATGTCGTTTAAGTCTTATTCTTCAGACAGGGAATTCTAGGTTTCTGTGACTTGTGCTAAGTAAGAGGCTGCACGTTTCCAGATGCTTATTAAAACGAAGAATGAAAGTATAATCACCAAGTACTACTAACCTGAGTCTGTCTGTTACCTTCCCTGACAGCCAGAGAGCAAGAGTGGACGCATCATTAATGTTGGAATGAACCTGCGCACACGCTAAAATGACTGAAAGCTGAAGTCTAGACGTATTAGCATCCTAGAGACATGCAGACGCTCCTCCCAGCCTAGTCTGTCTGTATCCCCCTTCACATCCTGTAGGAGGCAGAACAAAGCTGACTCCATATTGGATCTGTTCCTTTAGCTCTAACCCTGTGCCCTGTTGCCTGGGCTCAGTCATGCTGGTTCTGCACCTTTTGCAAAAGAATGTCGTTTAGAGCCTGAAATACGCAGGACAGCCCATTCTCAAGGCTCTGACCTTTAAGGGTAGAACACATTTCCATTCATACAGAGATAAAAAGTTGCAGAACAGAAAATAAGACTTGTCTTGTTGGAGGTTTACAGGGACGCTATGACCTTCCCTACGTGGACGGCTGCAAGAACAAAGGATTCCGACACCAAGACGTTTGCAACACCCAACCACACCTCTTCCCCTTCTTGGTATAAGAGGCTGAATTCTGACTTGGGGAAGATGGTTCTCTAGGACATTAGTTCCCCATCTTCTTGGTCTGAATAAAGTCATCATTCCTTGCCCCAACACCTCGTCTCCCGATTTATTGGCCTATCTAGCGGCGAGCAGAGTGAGTTTGGACTTGGTGACAATCCTACTCCTTGCTCTTTCTCCAATGAGAGAGAAAGAGACTTAACGCAGGCAGAAAGCCTTGTGAGAACAGGTGACATGGGGGATGCTATAAAATCACAGTCACTTGTGGGAAGAAAAATATACAGTGATGAGAAAGGCAGATTTGAACATTTTTCTTTAGGACTGATTTCAGAGTTTAAAGCTACCTTAGCAATTAAAATAGAGAAACTGTTGTCTACTTACCCATTCTGTATGGCAGCTGTGGGGTCATAGGTCAGAGCCATGCCAGCCTGTACATGGGGGGGAAAGGGGAGAAAGTGGATCTTAACATTTTTATTGCAGTGCCCAAACCATTCAGTACACACAGACTTTTATCTTTACTTTCTACATTTCCAGTTTACTTTTTCCTATATGTTTCTCCTCCCTGACTGCCAAGACTAGCGATTTTAGCACCCCCACACCAGAACCCACCAGTGAGTTAGGGAGTTTGTATCATATATCTGGACAAACCAAAGAACAATGTGGCTTGGACGATTTCCATTTCTACTTCATAAACCACCCAGTGTCTAACCTGAGATCCTTACAATTTCCCACTATTGTCAGGAGCATCAGCTGTATGTTCAACTATGTTACGGCATGAAAAAGAAAAGGGAAGAATGAATCCTGTGGTCAGAATGAAAATAAAAGCTACTTAAAAATGCATTCGACCTTTTAGAAGAAACTGTTAAGAAATATTTATTTTAAGATAGATCGTGTGTCTCGGGGGCATGTCGGTAATGAGTCACAGACTGCTTGTCCAATATATCGCTAGTACCTCTCCCACTAAGGGTGCAGAAAGGGAAGGTCATTTACACGTGATGGAAATTCCAGGCCTTGTGGTTTTGCTCTGTTTCTAAGAATAAGACCACCGCTGGCAGTAGTTGCAGAAAAGACTATGAACTTGACGACTGCTGGTTCGCAGTCTAGCTCCATCCTTCATACACACCATCACAGCTGATCCTCCCAAGGACCCCAGCAAGTAGGCAGGAGAAACAGCTTCTCCTCCTTTTTATAGACTAAGACCCTGATGCTTGGAGAGGTCACCTGACTTGCTCAAGGTCACCCAAGTCTCCTGATATGGGTGCCCCTCCCCAGCCTGCTCTGACATTGACTAGGATTTATTACCTCCAGCGAGTGGAGAACCTCCTCGCGGCCACATGGGCGTACCTCCCTTTGTTTTCCAGGCCTGTCAGCCTGATTATTGCTCGTGAGCAGAACCAGAAAGAGAATGAAACTTCAAGCTGACTAGGTTGTCTTTTTTTCCCCTTTTTTGATGCTTAAAAGTACATTAGTCCCATGTCAATTTCCTGGCTTGAGTGTGCCCTATTATTATGTAAGATGTAACCACTGGGAGAGATGGGCTGTAGGGTAAACAGGACCTCCCTCTACATGTCTTTTGCAATTTCCTGTGAACACAATTATTTCAAAATAATAGGTAAGAAAAAAAATTCGCTTTGAGGACTTTAGCAGAGGATAAGAGAAAATGTAAAAGCTTGAAAGAAAAGAATAAGGAGCTTTTGTGTCTGAGTTTTTTCCAGTGTGGGTGAAGGTGGTTTTCCTGCTGACCTCATTTAATCTCCCAAATCTAGCACATGACTGAAAATTCTCAGGCTTTCTAAGATAGGGCCTAAAGTCCGGCATGGCCTGTGACATTCAAGCTTACATGTATTGTTTTCCCTAAGCAGCATTTTAAATTAAGACTGGCATGAGGAACAAAGATGTAGAGTCATACATAGATGGAACTTGCATCCCGGGTGCACAGATACATTCAAACGAAGTTTGCAAACAAAATTGAGATAGAGATGCACTGAGAACACACGCTTCCTGACGACTGCATGTCACGCATGTTAAAGAAACACTCAATTGATCATGTGAAAAGTGGGGAGCCTGGAAAATGAGAGGAGAATAAAAGAGCAGAAATGAACATAGATTTCGTTCCCTTAGGAGAAGCGAAAGTAGTGATGTCAAAGCCCATAGATTCTAAGTCTAAATTCTTCCCAGGATGGGGCCTCCGCCAGGTGACAGGTGGGACGTTGGCTCGAGGCAGAAGATTCCCTAGAGGGATCTGTCTGAGGTGCAGCTGCAATTTGTGGTTCTGTGTCCTGGAGAGGGCAGCTGGAAAAGCTGTCTATTTGGGATGAGATTTCCCTCTTAGAAACACTAAGCTGCTCTCCCCTAATGTATCCAAGATGTCAGACCAAAGACAGAATGAAAAACAAAATGGGCTTTGTACTCAATAAAGATATTGTTGGTTAATAAAAGATTTAAGATAATCATCAGGTCTTCAGCCTCCTGATCGCCCCCAGTTGTTTAAAACCCCAGGGGACGTGTAGGAAGCCACATTTACTTCTTTCCCTTGAACATAGTTTCCAATAGTGTTCAGAGACCAATGCTAGCTGACCTTTCTTGAATTATACATTGTCTTGCACATTCTCTTTTTATGCTATTTTATTTGTTCTGGCAACATTAGGTAAAGATTTATTTTCTTTTGTAGTAGGGGAGAACAAAGCCGACTCCATGTTAGATCTTTCCCTTTGGCGCTAACCCTGTGCTCTGTTGCCTGGGCTCAGTCACGCTGGTTTGCGGTTTTTGCAAAAGAATGTCACCTAGAGCCTGAAATATACAGGGCAGCCCATTCTCAAGGCTCTGACCTTGAAGGGTGTAACACATCTGCATTCATATAGAGATAAACAGTTGCAGAATAGAAAATAAGACTTGTCTTGTTGGAGGTTTACAGGGATACCATAACCTGAGCTACGTCGACAGCTGCAAGCACAAAGGATTCCGACACCAAGAAGTTTGCCCACACCCCCTCCCCTTTTTAGTATAAAAGGAGCCTGACTTCTGACTTGGGGAAGATGGTTCTCGACGACATTAGTCCCCCATCTTCTCGGTCTGCTGGCTTTCCAAATAAAGTCATTATTCCTTGCCCCAACACCTTGTCTCCTGATTTACTGGCCCGTCATGTATAACGAGTAACGAGTTTGGACTCGGTAACACTTTCATTTTGGACTTGAATTCCTCCTGAATTACAGTTAGCCTATCAGGTCTAGCTAGGAATACAGTAATTATCAAAACACTCTCTCTCTCTGTTGAACAGTATTTGACAAACAGAAAGCCTACCTGGGCCCCTTCTGCCATCTTAAACCTCCATCCATCTGTCAGAAGATGGAAAAGAACTAAATAGACGGCAAGATAATGTAGCGGAAAGAATATATGTTTCGGACCTGGGTTCAAAGGCTTAACTCTGTTACTTTGTAGCACTGTGACTTTGGGCAAGTTACTGAACCTCTTTGAGCCTGTTTCCTTACTATTACATGGTATAGTAATACCTACTTCATATGATGGTTGTGCAATTTAAAAGATAACAGCATTTGTGAAGTGCCCAGCACAGTGCCTGGAGGCAGGACACGTAGGTAAATACTGTAACACAAAGAAAACATGGTGAGTGCCACGTGAGGGGTCTGGATGTGGTATAGAGGGGAGTGGCTGGGGGTGATCCATGAAGGCACGTGGAGGACATACAGTTGAGCGGAGCCTGGAAGATAATTAAGATTTCCCCAGATGGAGGTGAGAGGCGGAGGGCAGCTCAGGCAAAAGGAATAGTATGGAAAAAGGTGAATCCATCAGAAGGGCCAGGTGGGCGATCCACTTGCTGTAGGAGAGTGGCCAGAGCAGAGGGAGTAAGACTCAGAGGGAAAGGAGGGAGGGTCTTGATTGCCTGGCTTCTCCTGAGAAGCCACTGATCATTTTTCCAGCAAGGAACTTATACAGCCAAGGAGGGGCTGGACAACCAGAAACAGCATGAGCCTTCTGGAAAACAGAGGGTAAATCCACAGTGATGGGTGACTGGGGTAGGCGCCTGGGGACAGGGAGGTGGAGAGAAACCAAGGTGAGGATGAATCCAAGTTTCATCTGCTTGACGACTTTGCAGGAGACAAGCAGAGATGGTGTCAGGCCATTTGTGTGTTGGACAGCGTGGGTGACAAAGCCAGGCATGGGTTAAAACAAAGGGTTGTTTTCACTCAACCCCCTGGCTGAATATCACAGCATAAAAACCAACACTAGGCTGCACCTGGTTTTCATTTCATGTGTAACGGATTCCTGAGTTATATATTCTAATATGGTCTTAATACAGATTTTGCATTCAATTTCCTTTTGTTCCTTTCCACAAGGTAAAGAAAGAAAATCGATTTTGCTGCTCTGTCTAGCCACCTTTATACTAAGGGGAACCGTGAAATTGTCATTATGTAATTACTAAATTTTATGGCTTGTTCACACACTTCAGAGTCACACAAAAAGTAAAATAAAAACGAAAATGTCACACTGCGTTAAGTATAAAAAGGGACGGTTAATCCCATCAGTCTTTTGAACGGGTTTATTAAATTCACAAGTTATTTTCCATTTTCAAGTTCACATTAATTGTGGAATAAAGGCATTTATGATTTATTGAAAACAAAAAGGGGACCTTTTTGTCATTTTCCAGCAGCAGCTGAGTTTTGCTTTAATATTTCAGCCATAATAGGGTTATTCCCAGTCCTTCCAGACAGAATCTACACTGTAAGAGCTAAATAGACACTTTATAAAATGGTTTATTGGAGTAATTGGGGCATCACAATTATTTTCAATAAACATAGAGGATTCTTTGAGAGACATCAGTTTGACTTGGGAACTAGATATTTGATATTCATTACTTTAAAGGAAGAAGGAATAATGATGGGCATACTGCTTAAAATGTACTCACTAGGGCATTACCACTTCAGAAGTACTTTCTGAGTTTTGCAAACAATTGGACACAATTCTATCAATTGCTCCCAACATTTCAGGGGCTTTGTTAGAGCTAGTGATCCTCAGATCAGACCATACTTAATCAGAAGGATGTGGACTGTTGACTGAGCAAACAGTTTATAAGCTGGATGCTTTAGTCCGAGATGAGTCAACTGAAGGCAAGGGGCCACATGTTGACTTGTCTCTTGATGCTAAGAATGTCTTAAAGCATGTGCTTTGTAGCGACACTGGCAACAGCCAGTGACAGCCAAATGCCTTCAAGAAACTCAACAAAGTAGTCTGTTGAGAGGGTTCCCAGCAAATGGTGGCTGTAGGAAAGCGTCTTCTTTCTAGATTTTCTGGAGCACGTTGGCTATTCCACAGCCATCTGTGTGCCTTTTAGCATCAACAATTCCCATATCATTGGGACCCAGTTGGGTTCCTAAAAAGCCCAAATAGCCTTTCACATGCAAACAGGTGAGTAAGTAAGAATGATACAAATGGTAGTAGAAATAATCCAATGTATTAGGCTAATGACTTTTTCTTGCTAAGGAAGATATGTGACTCTTTACATTGGATCAAATGTTTAATGATCTTAACGAAATAATTACAAGCCTACTGGTCCCTCATAGACGCATTAAATTACTGAAAATGGGATCAGAGCTTTTTCAAGATTCCTTAGCAAGTTTTACACATGTTGGTTGAGTAAAGTAAGAACTATCGTCTTTAGGTCCATAACAATTGGTAATAGACTGTAACACAACTTTTCAAAAATAAAAATAATTGGCTCATACGTTCGTATGGTTACTTCCGATATCCAAGCACGTTGTTTTTTACATCAATGGGAGAGGCATAAACTTAACCAAGACACTGGATCCCGCTCAGTGACGGTAATCATAAGCCAAGATACAACTGATTCTTGTTATTTGTAGTCATTATACTCTATGAAGTCACCACGAACACTGAATTAGTGAATACTGAACTCCTCCATTGCTCCTGGAGGAAATACAGGGTTAGGTTCCTCAAAGAGTCTGGTCACAACATTTTCACCAACTGATCAACACATAACCTAGTTTTACATGTGTTTCTGTCTAATGACATCATATTTAATATATATTGTTGATTCATTAACACTGAACTCACAGCCAAGCGTGCTATAAATCACACCTGAACGAATTTTATCTCCACTTTCCCATATTTTCTCCATAATGCACATCATAGATTTATTTTTTTAACCTGCCTCAACAGAGAAGACAAGTAACATTAGCCTCAATCTGTGCTATTGTCTCAAACTCCCCAAAATCAGAATCTGAATTCTCATTTTTAAATTTTATCTATGACAACAGTGATCTAAAGGTTTACCATTATTTTATATAACGAAACATACACACAAAAACCAACACCCAAAATGGGTCTCCTTATAAAGTTGGAATGCCAAGGGGCTACTCGATAAATGAAAAACAAAACTACCCATCAGAAAGGGACTTTCAGGGAAGATGCATGTCTCAGTCTTAACACTGGATGATGGAAGGAGACAAAAAAACTTTCCGCTAAGAATCTGACCCACAGCACTTTCTTTGGTTGGAGCTTCAGTTCACGCAATCTGTGTATTCAAAGACCTAAAGCAATGAATGTGTGTAGGTAGCACCCCCAGGATACTAAAAGGAACAAATGCAAATGGTCTTGGAATAATTCTATTGCTTGTAAGAGGAGGGTCAATTTCAGAAGTGTTAAAAACGTGGAAAAACAACAACTAAAAGGTGTGTCTTAAAAACAATGAAGTACAGAGAAGTTACTGGTTTATAAGAAAATTAAATATTGCTTACAAAGTATTAATTTGTGTACTGTCATGCCTTACACACCAGGCTAATCTAATTTACTCTAGCAAGTACAATGCAAAGGGAAATAGAAGAAAAAGTATATAATGATGGACACACAATGTTATCCAACAGGCAATAGACTTGGTGTGTCTACTTCTAAGACCACAATCATGGTGTAAAAATGGCCATGCTCATCCCCAAACCAAGATATCTGATGAGCATACTTTTAGTTCAGACCATTTCTTTTCCTGATGTCTTTCCTCTGAAAGTATCTACATACTTGGAATATGAGTTTACTGTCACCTATTTATTAAGGCACCTTGATTTTAATATTCAACAAGAAAATCCATAGCTCTTAAAAAAGCAACTTTTGAAAACAAAGCTTAGGAATCTATCTTTAAAACCCACATTTAAATTGCAAGGTGCTCTGGGTCCTCAACTCGACCTCTCAATGCTTCCATGACTATGATACACATGGTCTTTGTCGTGCTCTGAACTCAAAGCCCCAGATTCTGTATAAGGAGCAGGGCGACAGCTCTAAGTCTACTTTTTTTTTTTTTTTATGTTTTTTGGTTTGGTCTCTAATGTAGACTCAGGTAAGGGGTCTTGCTGCAAATGGCATCTACTTTGTAAATGTAACATATACAGGAACTGAAGTTTCAGTCATTGGTGCTAAGTCAGCTAATTAAATATGGAGGCTTTGGGGTTATGGTCTATGATCCAGTAATCCGTCTAATCAGTGAACACTTGACTCAACTAAATTTTAAAAGATCAAATGAGTCTTTCTAGACCCATGGATGATTGGCTTGAGACCAATGTGAAAATGAGAGCTATCAGAAAGAGTGGGGGCTGCTCGTTGAGCACAAACTGACCACTACAAACTCACAGGCCGTAACATTTTGAACCTCTTCCATTTTGAACATACCATAAACTCCTTTCTAAAATTGGTATCTTAAAACCCTTGCTTTTTTTTTTATTAGCTTCAAGTGCCCAACAGCAATTCTCTTTTTCCTGTCTTAAGGTAATGAGTTATAGATTATACACTACTTGAACATAATGACACACTATAAGATGGATTTTGAGATCAGCATGGAAATACTCAAAACAGATCACAGCCCCAGAAACCGAAAAATGGCTAAAGCTTTTACTGAGAAAAAAAATCCCAGCCTCTTTTCTCTCCTTGCAACTGTAGTCTCAGTGTCGAAACTGTAACGTGCTAGACCAAGGAAGATGCCTCTTAAATGATAAACAGATGAAGTAGCTGCTTTGAACAGAAATACTAAATAAAGCTCTTCTGCTGAAATCATGGCCTTGGTACCAAATGACATCTATTCAAGTCATTCAAACAACCCCATTCCATTTCACAAAGAATAAAAAGACCTCTGAGAAGCCCAGGCACCTTTTCCTTGTCTTCCTACAACAAAAAAATAACCAAAGAGAATCCATTCCCAAATGGTACTGGAGCCACGAGCTTGCTTTTCTACTGCTGTGTGTTCAGAGAGTAAGTGGATAATGAACTGTTAAATGCTCTTCTCCTTGTTGTGAAAAGTAAAGCCCTGTGCACATTAGCTTTTCTTTCTCCATCATGCCCAACAGAAAAATGTCACATTTCATATTGATGCATACATACATAAAGAGCAGATCAACACGTTCATGAACACGTGGACGTACTCATCAGTACACAGGCATGCAAGTACAGGATCTCAGTGGTAGGGTGAAAGAAATCTAAATTTGTCTGTGCTTTCTTCCAAACACGAACATTGAACTCTCACTATTGATTTCACTGGAAATGCTTTCTGAAGTATTTCACACCCTTATTTGATAACTATTGCACAATTATGGATCAATTCATCGTGGATAAGCTCTTAAAGTGAGTGTCTGCCGGGTTCAAGTGTGGTTAAAGACAGAAGACTCACTGTAATTCAGAACTGAGGTCCATGCTCAAGTCCTCTACTCCTCCTGAAATAATTTTATATTTAGCACAGCAGTTTGGACCTGCTCATTTGCCTTCTTTGAAGCTAGTTGGTTTTCTACAGGTTCTGATCTCCTCAAGGCCCCGTATGTCTGTCTTGCCACCCTTCTGAGGGATGTCTGAGGCCAGATTTCTGAGCAAAGGTCAGTCAGGACTCACCTCTCCTTCCCTGGGCCAAGGCCTTCCATTCTGGGTGTATTTACTTTGATTCTGTCGCTTCTTTTGTCCTCCATCAGCGAATTTGCACAGTAAAGGCTCACTAGGGGCTGGGAAGATAAGAAACCAATTTTACATTAGCAAATTCCCTTGCAAAAATAAGTGATTATGTGAGTCACAGTAGTGCTTTGTAATGCGTATCTTTTGAAGTCCTCTTGCTTCTGGAGAGATATTTGGCTTGCCTTTAAGTTTCAGTTCTTTTGGAGGCTGTTCTAACTAACTGGGCTTCAAAAAAGTACTGGCAGACCATAAAAGAATATAACAAATATGGTTGAAAAAATAACCAGTGGAAGCCGAATGGGAACTTGCCTTAAAAGTAAAGAGACAAGAATCGACCCCTTCCAATTATGTTAGTGCTAAAAACAAGACAACAGGCCCAAAATGGAGTCACTTATGCTAAGCCCCGTGTCACCAAATCGAGACTTAATTACAGTTTCAGCCTCTCTGAGAACTGGAATCTGAAAACAGTCAATCAGGAATTACCTGGTCAGCACCGGAGAGGTAATCTGCCAACGGACCCCTGCCATCCCCTAAAGGACAGGGACTGTGTCACACCCAATCCAATTTTTGCTGTACTCTGCCTTCCTGTCCCACTCCCTTCTGCCTATAAAAGGTGTTCATTTTGTACAGCTCCTGGGAGCTCCTTTCTCCCTGCTGGATGGGATGCTGTCTGATTCCTGATCTCCACACATGATGCTAATTCTTTACCCCTCCCTGTATCTTTGCTTTTGCCATTTAGCTTTGTGGAACCCTCTCGCTCGGACTCTTGGTCTGACCCCAAGTGAATTCCTTTGGCCAGTGGGAAATTAGCAAATAAGACAGAAGGAGAAGCTCGGAATGTTTTTAAGCATGGGAGCTTGTTTTTTTTTTTTTTTTGCTTCTCTGTATGGCTACACAAAGATGTCCAATCCAGGCTGCTGGAAGGTGAGATACAAACATAGATGAGTTGTCCCAACCATCCCAGCAAATCTCAAACTAGATCATCCAATGGCAAGCCATCACCCTGACACGTGAGTGCACTCCTCTAAGATCAGCAGAGATACACAGATAACACGCAGTGGACCCCAGAAACATATGTAAGCCTAGGTGACATCAGTCAGAGCCATCCCACAAATGTGTGAACTAAATAAATCCTTACTGTTTCATGCCACTAAGATTTTATAATTGTTATGCAGCTTTATCATCTTAACAGATAGCTGGTACCATTTTCCCCGATACCCATTCCTCCCAGCTAGCTTGCTTGCATTTGCTAATCCAGATGAAACAAAAAAAATGATGGAATTCATGAGATTTCCGATTGTCTTCAAGATCAATAGTGGATAAAGAAAGCAGGCAAACAAGTATCTATGAATTCATATTTTAAAATCATTTGGCTTTAGGTGGCTGTACAATTTTACTCAGTCCTTTTAGTTTACTCTCTATTAGCAGATTTCTATTAATCAGTGTTGGAGGAAATGGCTCAAATGGACAGAGGGTTGCAACTGGCCAAGAGAAATGACAAATAAAATATCTCTCCTGCCCTACAAGGGCAGCATGTAGCAATATGGAACACTTTCTGCACACAATTCTGCACACGGAGAGCACTCAATGAAGATCACTGCCTTGCTGGGCACAAGTGGCTGTCAACTGTCCGCTTTCATGAGCCTCTGACTTGGGTGACTCCGATGAAACGATAAAATCACACAAGGGAAAGGCTGAATCATGAAATGTCCGAAGACAGTTGCTCCCATCACATTAGAAGTAGTCTAAATTCTTTTTCCAAATGAAAAACTGAAAGGGTGAATGCAATCACTGGACTAAATTTTAGAATCACTAAAATTCTACATGTAGAATAATTTCCTGCAAGACTTAAAAAAATATATCTATACATATATACATATAATCCTTCCTCTATAGGACTGATTATATGTGAAATGGAGCTGGACCCTGTGGGGCCCTCAGGTACAAGTCCTTCCTGTGTCCCCTGTTCCTTGTTAGTAGGAGATAAGCTTCATTCTGCCTCCTTGACCTTCCCTGAGTCCCAAAGGGCAAACTCAAACAGTTGCTAACCAGGAAAGGGAGAGGATGCAGAAACAAGGGAGGAGGAGTCAGGAAACAATAGTGCAGCCTTGGGGTGGGGTCCTGGTTCCTCCTCAAGGAACAGACATAACAATACCTTTGAGTTCTTCTGCAGGGACTAAGCCCCCTGCCCTCCTGCCCCCAGGGGGAGGGTGGTAACTTCAGACTGAGCACAAGATTCTTGGAGCAATGCCCTGTTACCTCCCCTCCAACCAATAAGAAGAAAGCCATGCACCCTGCAGCCCTCCCCACAAATTAAAAACTTCTCACTGAAAACCATTGGGAAGTTCAAGAGTTTCTGAGCACAAGCCAGCCACCCAGCCTCCTTGCTTGGCCCAGCAATAAACCTTTCTCTCCTCCAAACTCCAACGTTTCCATTTGTTTGGTCTCACTGGGCATCAGGCACCCCAACTTGTGTTCAGTAACATGTGTATGTACGATACTATATGTATAAAATATATTATAGGGTATTTTTCCTCTTGCCATTTTAAAGATTCAAGGTCCATCCATCCCTTCAAGTGGGATGGTCATGCTAACATGTGAATTTATCACTGACAATATGACAAATTTCTCACAGAAAGCTAACAAATCTAGAAATAACTTAAATTTTCTATCGGTGGAGGATTGTCAAGTTTCCCTTGAAGTTTATGCTTCTTTGGACGATGACTTTCATGAGTTTGACGTGTCTGAAGCAGGATCCTCTGTGTTATCTCCTAAAACAGCTCCTTCTTGGGTTCCTAGCATCCTGGTTCTAATGATCTAGACTATAGCAATGTCTTCTCTTTAGTTCATTCATGTCCCTGTAGGTGTTAACACATGCTTTGGGTGCAGTTAACAGTTAGGGGTAGCAGTCTGCTTCCTGGGTGTGAGGTCTGGCTCCCTGACCTACTAGCTACAAGACACTGGGCACTTTTTTTAAAAAAAACATTTCTCTGATTCATTTTTCTGATGTATAAGGTGGGAGTAATAATGTTACCTACCTCAGAGAGCTACTGTGAGGATTAAATGAATTCATACACAGAAAAGGCTTAAAGGCGTGCATGGCACATAAATAAATATTAAATCCACATTCGCCACAACCATCATCACCACCTAGCTTTTCCATTAGCTAAAAACCTGGTCATCTGTCAGAGCCCAGACTGCTTACTTAACTGACTTAATCTTTATCAGCTCTGTCACATTCAACTCCATGGTGGTTTGGCCACACCACTTAAGACTGACAGTGATCTAAGAAGGATGAGAAGGAGATCTGCTCATGGAGACAATCGTGTTTCCAAAATGCCTCTTGTTGACTTCATCTTGCCATGGGACCATCTGGCCACTACAGCCCCAGTCCTTCTCCTGAGTCATCACAAAACTCGGCTTCCAATAGCCCCTGAGTTTAATGTAAGTCACATTACTCGTATGCAAATTAACATACAATTTCTTACTCTGAGAGCTCCCTCTCTCTTTTTCTTTCTTTTTAAAATAATTCCTTTTATTTATTCATTTATTTATTTTGGTCAATCAATTGCAAGAGACCTATTGGCATTTAAATCCATCAAAGCTGTATTTTACTACCAGGAAAAGTACCGTGCCATCAACACAGCAATAGATTTCACTGGAGTTTCCTTTCTCGGGTCCTAGTCCTATATTAAAATGCTAAATAGTAACTGTTCTCTTAGAGCTAAGTCTGAGAAATCTTTCTTTGTTGAAAGAGATATTCTTTGCCTTTAGTGTTCTCCCTAAAACAATCACATACCTCTAATTGCATATCTAAAAAGACAGGGTTTTCTCAATTCCCTTGTTTAATATATGTAAGATACACACACACACACACACACACACACACACACACACACACACACACACTATATACACACTATATATATTTATACATACCATAGATTCATTTGAACAAAGGAACTGATATGTATGTGTACATTGAGGGTAGTGGGATATACCACCCCAAAATATGTCTCTTTGTCATAAGGATTATTTTAGACTGATTATTCTTAAGAAACAGCAGACAGAGAGTTCTGAAAACCTAGTAGAAGTTGCCCCTTTGTAAAAGACATTTACATTTATCAGAGGAATCTCCATTTCTAAGGGTGTCTCCTGCTTGGTACCTGGAAGAAAAAGATGACTAAATCTCTAGAAACTCACAGCATTTGAACAAGGCAAGGAATTAGATCTACATGACAAACTGTTGTGCTTTGCCTGCTAAACTCCCATCACTGGCTTCCCTCCCCTACTGACATCTTCCTTTATCTTTGGAGATGTTATTTAAGGTGATGACTTGAACCATTTCAAGGAGCTGCTCAGTTTTCCTGGGTATCTGCCATGTATTCAGGATGTGTATGTGTTATTAAACTTCTGTTTTGTTTTGTTTTGTTTTGTTTTCTCCTGTTAATCTGTCTTTTAATGCAGGGGTTTTCTCAGCCAAGACCTAGAAGAGTAGAGGGAAAATTACTTTTCCTCCCCTACTATATATACCTCTGTGTTTGTGTGTGTGTAATTAAAAGCCTTTTTGTGAAATCTTGGAGGCATGGAATTGAGGAGCAGCATTGGCAGGAAAAGAAAAGACTGAACAAATTATTAACCTTAGGATTTCTTTTACCCACTGGCACAAAAAATTTCTGCAGAAGCATCCTAGAAACAAATATTACCAGATAACAATAGTCTACCTTGCCAAGGATCAAACAGAGATAAACTATGATTCTGGATTTTAAACCTGTCTTGAAGTTTACCCTTATTGAAAAGAGAACTTTCAAAAACTTAATTTTAACACTAAGGGAAATTTAAAAAGTCATGGAGTGAGACTTTTTTAACTGTCAACTGAGATGTCTTTGCAGATTGCATTTTGCAGTATCTCAAAGGTTTGGTATTAGGTCTTCATAAACTGCTATACTGTGAATGTTGACAATAACCTCTGTGTCTTTATGGATATCACTAACTTGAAATGTTTGCTGTTACTTTAATAATTTGGAGATAATTATGATGGGGAAGAAGA